TTAAATGCCATTGAGTAAAGAAGTAATTATTCCATAGAAATTTAAAAATCACTTAATTTATCAAATAACGACTTTCTATATGCTACTGATGAAGAAAAAAACTGGCCGTTGTTAGCGGTCACCTGGAAGAAACGACCAACATTCCTTAAGCATGCTGGAGAGTTTAACAAATATTCAGAATTTTACGTTCCCGGTGGGATTCTTAAGATAACCGGACAAATAATTTTAAGAAAAAGAGAAATGAGTGCACATAATTTAATAACAGATATTCGTTTATTTAATCGGTCGTTACATACGTTGCTTTCTTATTATACAGTTATCGCTCAAAACATCTATAGATAGGCAAATTTTCCCGAAATTTGGATATAAAGTATCCTTAAATGCAGATAATTTATGTAAATATCAGTGAAAGTTTTCGTGCAGTTAATGTAGCTAGGAGCGAACCAACTAGGCCACAGAATTTCAAAATCAAAACCCCATGAATATGAATCTGTGCATCGTCTTCAATTAATGAAGTGTCATAATTTTATTCATTGAATAAAATGGTAATACATTTTGTAGTTCACCCACACCTAGGTGAAGAATGTTATAAAAACTGAGGAAAATGTTTGTCACCCTGTATGTTACGACTGAATTTTGCGTGGTATATAACTTAGCAAAATATGTAAACTTGATTTATTATTGAATATCAAATTTCTCTCTTCAATTGTTGTGAGTTTCTTCGATGGAATATGACACGTTATTTTTCTGAAGATACTTTGTTCTTAATAATCATTGTCTTAAATATCTGTACAGATTGTAGTGACCATTATCATATATTTACTTTCAAAATGCGTTTCGTTATAATAGCTGTTTGAACAACATAACGTAGATTGTTTGAATTAGGTAACGTAGGCTATTTGAATAAGGTAACGTAGCAACAATAATAATGATTCTTGTTTGTTTAAACCGATTGACCGCAATAAAGGTGAATTAAAGACACTGCACAAATATTGGAACACATTTCCATCTATCAGACATATTGAATTACATCAAAGACTTCACGTCACAATGTTATCAGTGCGGTGTAATGTCATGTCTGGAACTTACGTGACATTACGTTACAGACTATTCATTCACCGTTTCGCCATGTTATGTTACATTTCCTGATACAGATTCGGTTAATTTGACGAAAACGTCGCTGGCAATAATCGGAAAATAAGTATTCATATTGAGCACAGCATGCGAGTCAATATAAATTAATCTTAATTTTCCAGGACTGCTTATCAAACGCGTAAATGAAAGAAAATGTTATGGAACAACGTGAGGCGAAAATAACTTTAAAGCAATTTAAAATGATGCTGAAAATCATTTCTACAAGGAATGCTCCGCTTGTGTCTACTTATTTATTACAATTACTACTGGGAGAACTTTTGAAATAATGCTTATTGTTAAAAATCAGTATAATAGGTGTTCCCGAGAAATTTATTACTAAATTCGTTAAATGCGTTAGCATTATTTAAATAAAGCGTGCAGTATGCTAACAACTAATTTACTTTTTTTCTGTCGGACATTATGTTCGGCGTTTGTAACACCGCACTTTGGGGTCAAACGCACTTTGGGGTCCGACCCCAAAGTGCGTTACGTACTATGGGGTCCGACCCCATAGTGCGTTACGCACTTTGGGGTCAAATTTCGACCCCAAAGTGCGTTAAACAGGTACATATGCATTTTTCAACATCAAGCTAACGACCGCACTTTGGGGTCAGAGAAAATTTGTGTTCATTATGTTTTAAATAATATAGTGTAGTCAAAGCCAATGGTAAACAAAAATCAAGGTATTAAATAGACACAAACATGTGCCCTGAATCAATAGGGATTAAAATGGTCTTGATTAGTATGTGAAGAACTTTACAAAAAAATCACCAAATAAAGAATTTGTATCAATTATTTAAGCAGCACGCCTCCAGATTCACGCTAATTTTCATGAAAATTTTGAAAATTTATTTGAATGTACTCGTATAATATTGTGAAATAACCAAAAGGAAGCAAGTTGCACATTATCAATGGCACTTATAACTGATAATATGTTAAAATAGCCATTTATTTAGCTAAAAGTGACATATAAGAAACTTGACTAGGTGAAGATGCGGCTTTAAGTAGTAGTCCGTAGAGGCAGTACTAAAATATTAGCTATTTAAGTAGTCGCACATTATGAGCGAGCTTCAGAATAATGTAAAATTCTCACTGGGGGTATAGAGGGGAGTGTGGGGTTTCGAACCCCCGAGGGTTAAAACTTACACTTTAAAGGTCCATTATGCTTTTATTTGTTTTCCTTAAGCTTTTTTATTTTGATATTCTTTTATATTATCAAAAAATACACATTTGCCAATTACCTGAACCATCGTTTTCATATGTTGCTTTTTGACAATGATGAGTACAGTTATAGTGATAAGTACTTTATTTGGAAGTCAAATACTACATTGTTTTGACTACTTTTATGACAAATAATTTCACATTTATCGCTACTTTATTCAGGTAACAAGCATCTTACATTTCTCTGATACCATTATTTTAACATTATACAATTCATCTTTCTAAAGAAGTATGTAAGATTTCCCTGGCGAACGGTTGTTTTTTTTTTTTTTTTTTTTTTTTTTTTTTTTTTTTTTTTTTTTTTTTTTTTTTTTTTTTTTTTTTTTTTTGTCATCTATTTTTTTTTTAGTTTTGAATACATCCTTTTTTTAGTTTTGCATACATAATCTTTTTAAGTTTTGCATACATATTCTTTTTTTAAGTTTCGCATACATCTTTTATTTTAGTTTTGTATACATTTTTTATTTGAGGTTTTCGTACATATTTTATTTTTGTTTTTTTTTTTTACTTTTTTTTTTTCGTACATAATTTTACAAGATGCCATTTGCAAAGTAGAGGTTTGGATAATTACGCCATTTGTAAAACACCATTTTCAATCACTTCACCATCTGTAAATTACAGTACCCCATTTGCAAACGCCATTTGCAAATACCAACATTTTCATTTTTGGAGGTATCAAAAAGATAACAACACTTTTTAGTATATATATATATATTATCTATGTCTCTGATATATACATGTAAATTTATATACATGTATATATATATTTTCCCTATCAGTGGAGTATAAGGAACTATTTAGATCTTTCATTGTGCATTATTGTAATACACCAGTCATTTGTAACCGCCTCCCTTGCCCCGGGGGAGTGTGGGTTAAATAAGAATCGTGTTCTGATGTCTGCACTGTTCCGGGGCATAAGGCAGGAATGTTAATCTGAATTTTCCCGCAGGACGAAGATTTTACCAGTGGCTTGGTTTAAAGTCAATGCCCCCCCCCCGCTATTATCAGGGGGTGGGGTTGAGTAATGCATATTCATGGAATAATAATTGATCACCAATCAACAGCCCTTTCCAAATGGACACTAAAATAATAGTAGATAATAATTAAAAAAAACAATAATTATATAAAATACATATGATTTAAAGAATGGGCCGAAAAAAGGGTCGGCCGAAACCAGACTTGCCCGGCCGAAAACGATTGGGCCGATTCCAAAAATGGGCCGAAACGTGACCAAACCACTGTGCTAGTTTTATACTCAACTATGGGCTGTTATGAGATGTGAAGGCTGTTTTGATTGGCTTAAATATGTACGAAAAACAAAAATAAAATAAAAAATGTACGAAAAACTAAAAAAAAAATACAAATGCAAAACTGAAAAAAAAATATGCAAAACATAGATAGAAATATGTATGCATAACTTAAATAAGAATTAATGCAAATGTCACTTTTATGCCACCGTAATTGTGTTATATGAACGCAATTATTGGATATTTTAAGTGGTAAAATTAATGAAACTTTTATCACTTAAGCATCATCAAAGTATTGACCGCCATCTTGAACTCCACCTCAAATATTTCAATGTCGAAGATTGAAAATAAGTCAGTTCTCAGTATTTAAGCAGGACTCAGATGACACTTTCAGACCTCTGGAACCCAAAGTGCGTTGATATGTAGCATATTAACGCACTTTGGGGTCAATATCTCGATTTTGACCCCAAAGTGCGTTTGACCCCAAAGTGCGGTGCGAAGTTTAACGCACTTTGGGGTCGGACCCCAAAGTGCGTTTGACCCCAAAGTGCGGTGTTACAGGCGTTTGTTGTTGCAATTTTGATGAAAACGATGACAGTTATTATGACGCAAAACATAAGCGTACACGTCCCACGGCTATATGTACGGTTAACGGCTGTTTAATTGCCAGGTCAAGCAAAATGGCTGGCCCTGGCCGGTAACCGTGCAGATAGAACGAAACCACACATCTAATTATGCAATGACTAATGAACGAACGGTGTACACTTGTTAAACAGTTGATGAATATTATGTTTGGATTTGTATGTAACTATGTAATGCATCACTGTTCAAATGACCTACAGTCAATCCTTTGCCCACAGCTAAATTTCCTATCCTTTAATTAAAATGGTGTTTCTGTTCAGGTGAATCACAGTAATAAACCACACAGCTAACAGTTCGTTTAGATGTAATTTTCTTTTGAAGACCACGGTTTTATATATTTTACAGAAATAATGTATAGACATGTTCAGTAATGTTACTAAGACCAGTGTCGTGAAAGTTGAGTGAAATCAACAAAATTTCGGTCAGGTGTAAATATCTTAATAATTTTGTAGAAATCTTAGAACGTTTACTCATATTAATGTACTTTCCAGAATACATTTCTAAATCTACGAAATAATAACAACATATTACATGAAATATCTCATTTGTTTTTGTAATACAACAGCAATACCCTTGCGTCAAGTTTCAATTTTTCACGCTAGGCAAAGATTACGTTAAGTATTTTTCTATGCTTTAAATAATTACAAAAGAGTCTATTGTTACGGTCCGAGGACAAAGTCCTTTGATATGTCACTTCTCTAATAACTAGTGAAACAACGGCTAAATTAGGTATAAGAACACTAAAAGCATACTTACATCTCGTTTTAAACTCCCTGTCACTTGTATTAAGTCGAGATTCACTCAAAATCTGAAGTAGACGAAAAACGAAAATGTATAACTACGCGTCTTTCAAATATATATCCTACAGTGCACCAAAAATTAAAAAGTAGTTCGTATATACAAAAGGATGAATAGAAAATGCATATAAAAATGAGTAGGTTTTTCGGCAATCTTTGAATGGTTTGCATATATAATTATATCTATACACCTACAATGACAAGAAACTTTGAAAGATTTTATCAGTTTAGCCCTGTTAACTTTTGTTGACACAAAATTTATCAAAAGTTTTACGTTATACAAACATTGCCCTGACCTGATCATATTAAAATTTAAGCGAGAAAAAAAATCAGAATTCCATAATAGTTACCCCTTACTCGAGTACCTATGTTGTCAGGGAATGACAAGAAAATTGGTTGGTTGGAATGTGTAGATGATGTAAAATCGTACACTGACGTATCAGTAAACGGAGGTTACATTATCACACCATAGGGAGTTCAACCAATTATTGATTAGACACTACCCGGATGTAGAAACTATATACTGTATATCAATTTTCCTAGTAATCCTACTTTTGTATATTTACTATCATTTCAAACACTCAATCTGTAAAGAATTCTGCCTGATGTTTTATTCCGACTCTTACGTTAAATGTATTTTACGTTACATTTTTAATCTTACGTTACATTTTATTTCACGTTGCATAAATTTTCTATCAGATCAAAGATTAAATATTTCACCTAAAGTCAATAAACATGTATCGATAGTATACATATACTCGTATAAACAAACGGTTGTTTAACTTACGTTACATGTCATTAACGTTACATTTTAGTCTTAGATTACACACAATTTTCATCAAATGAAAGATCAAATATATTAGCTAAAGTCAATTCATATCTACATATGCACATCGTAAGACTGGAACAAAGTTCAAGTAAACTTGCTTCTTATTAAACATGTATATACTAGATACACATACAAATGTCACGGTTGGTTCAAACTATATAAAAGAGTATCTTTATTCAAAACGGTCGATCAATTTATCCCACTGATTCAATGACAATTCTCATAGGTTTTTTTTAATTAAATAACCATAAATTTACATGTTTTTCTTTTCTTTGAGGCCTACACGCTTGTAATGCTTAGGTCACATAAAAATAGGTTCAGTTCTATAAAACATACTACATGTATTTTTTATCTCGATATTGTATAAATAAACAACCGGATATCTCGAACTCAAGAAATGTCACTTCGACCTACACGATATTTGTGTCAACATATTATCTTATTACATCAGCATTCATTCATCTGAACGAAATGGTGAAATATTTTACGTACCAATAAAAAGAAATTAAAAAAATATCACATTTTTATGTGGGGTGGTTAAAAAACATTGATCATTATCTGAATATAATGGTTATTTAATAGAATAATGCCCCCGAGGTTAAAAAAAATGATTAATCGGAATAAACGGATTGTCTCGTGCAAATAATATAACATATTTTAGTTGACGTTTGTTTAAAAAACATATCAAAACACACAATAAAATGTGTTTATTACTTTTACTACCATCTTAAAGGGCCTTCGTATATTATAGATTAAAACAACAGATATGATTATGAATCCCCCGAAACGCTTGGGAAAACTTCCGTGTTCTGAACCTTATAATGGTATATGAAATATTTGAAAAAAAAAAGATATTCAACTCATTTTCAGTAGAATAAACCCACTTACACAACTTTTAATATTGTCATAAAGTCCTTTAAAAAAGAAATATTGACAGATTTATGCCGAATTCTTTTTTCAACATTAAAAATGTGTTATACATTTACTACGCTAAAAGAAATAGTATATAATTATAAAAACATTGTAATGCCAATATGGTTGGTAACAGACAAACTTTTCGTGTTAAGACAAAAAAAAAGAAAGAAAAAAAAACTTAAGTGTTAAGGTGTTCCCCTGAAATAAAATGAACTCTAAAACTTGGGTGTGTTACTAAATGCCGGTACCGAACACGGTTGGCCACCTAGCGGAGGTAAGAATTCCCACGAAAGGATACATTTGATAAATATATACACAAGGAAAGTTTTCCCATTCTCCATATAAACATTGTATTTCGTTGAAAGAAATCATGTCAAGTTTATTTAATAAATGATGAATGAATAATCAATGATAAGGTTATCAAAAAACTGATATTTGTAAAATATTTTTATTTGTAAAATATTTTATGACAAATCAATTTAACATTACGAACTATTACAATACATTCTTAATTGTGCATAAGCAGCGATTTTAATATCGATTCAACCATCTAGCATACCTTAATAGTTACAAAAATGCTATATAAATACACACAAAAATTAACTCCATAGCGGATCAAAGTATAAATAAACATTAAATGAACTACTAAACTAAATATTAACCGATTAGTTGTAAACGTTTAAGGTATAATTATTACTTATTTCAAACCATCTATATAAATGGTAAAACGATTATTTTAAGGAAATCGTAGAAAAAATAAACAAACCGTCTAAAATGTCCGAAAGTGAGAGTTCAAAATGGCGTCTCGTCTTAAAGCTTACACAAATATTTTGTCGCGGTTCGTTGCGCAAATGTAGGTAAACGTGAATATATATGAAAGCCGTGTTATGTCCTTTTCAACTTCTATCACATTTTTGTAACGCCTTAACAAACTTTAAGCGACGCGAGACTTAAATAAACTTTGCATCTGTAGTTTGTCAACTTAAAAGCAATTTTGATAATACTTTAAAATAAACGGTACGCGTTATTCCTACGCAAAACAATTTAATCCGCTCTGTAAATAGGTAAAGAATTTGTAACAGAGACGGACAATGACAGCAATTTATTATTACCTATATAATACAAGAATGAAGACATTAAAATGTTTTCTTAAAACAAAAGATTAAAACGGCAACCTGATATCAAATCTGCGGATCAACTTTCGGTGTTTTGATTATAGCATTTATAAAACATGCCCACGAATGAACACTTAAATACAAAAAAGTCTTTGTTTTAAATAATGAACCCGGGGTACGTAAAGATTCATGCAAGAATACTCCATTTAGAAATATCTGTAATATATGGTTTCCGCTTTAATGATTACCTAAATGTTAATTAATATGTCATCTACAGTCAAACCTGAGTGCAATGGTTTCTTATGGTAACATTGAACGGGGAGATAACCAATGTTTTCACGCGTAAGTAGCACAAGTCTTATTTGCTTATAGCCAGAAATTGACCAAATGCCATCTATTTACGTTTCTAGAGTGAACACCATTTCCAGACATTAAGTCACGGAATGGTATTTAAATGACACCACGGTAAAATTAATATGCAGGTAAAGATTAACTGATAAATAAACGCATACACAATCAAACTTGATAAGTTTTTATCTCCCTTAGATAGCAATCCGCCATTTGCTGAACAAACTATTTAAATTAGTTCCCTCCCTTGGTTTACCAGCCATTTGCAGTGAACGCTATTAATATACTACCATCTTCCCTAGCACATTCGTTAATTCATTTTCCATCTTTAATTAAAACAAATAGTTTAGTAAATGAGATAAAAAAATATACGCACTATAGAAACAACAACTATCCTTGCAATTCCTCGGTATATTTCCTGATAAGTATATAAGTTGTTTACTTATTGTTAAGGCATGCACAAGTAAACAAATTTGTTCTACTTCAAGAACTGACAAGTCTTATGTGTATGAAATATTTCGCATAGGTCAAGCATGTCACACGATTAATTTTATTCACCTAATTAAAAATAAGTTGCCCATGGCAACTTGTGTACACAGCCTTAAGCGTTTTACCTTAGCCTAATTATTATTTTTTTCGCATATATATACGACCTAGTTGTTTGACACATAAATTAAACTCCGTATATTCTTTAAAAGGCACTTGAATCAATTTCTAAAAGAGACGATAATTGCCTTAGTTTAATATCTGGATGTATGTTATCAGTTTTTGGTAAAAAAATTACTTTTCGGTAGTTTCCGTCAAGTTCCGGTTAAGGATTATGGGTACGGTGTGCGGTATGAAAATGCTTTCTTTACATTCAATGAGAGAATTATGTATTTGATTTTTTTTCACAGGAACGATAAACAATATAATTTTCCTAAAACGATTTATTGCAATATGCCATAAATATTCGCGAAAGAAAAATATCGAGTGTTTGTGAAACAGGAGTGCACTTACGTTTATTTTTTTTTTTATAAAAAATACCATTTGAACCTCGATGAAATAGCGGATGTTTCGCTTGAATATTCTTGTTCCATAGTTCGAAATAAAAGAAACCAACATGTATAGATGGGCCAAGAAAAGGGACATGAGAAGCTTTGTACTTTCAAACTAAAAACAGAGTCAATGTTAATTAATGTCAACTGTCCAGATAAAATGGTCTTTCCTGACTGGAGATGTCTAAAAATAGGCGAATTTGCAATGTTTGTTCTCATGAAACAATGTTGTTTTTTTTCAAGTTCAGTCACATTCAGCCTCTTATCAGTTTCTAACTTATAAATAAACATTGTGAATCTTAAAAAGATTTTATCTTTTGAAATTTGGACAACATAGATGTTTTAATCAATAACGCTGCTAAGCAAGATCTAGTGCCTGCACAAATACCCAAATTTCCAAGATAGTAAGAAATGCGACGCGGGTATGACCTAATTCTTCGGCTACCTCGAGACACCCGTGCAGAGCTTCGTAAAAGCTTAGATATAACCACCTCTCTACATCCACCTGCGATGTTCGTTAACACAAGTGGTCACGTGACGGTGCTATAAATACCCATGTTACCTAATACGCTTGTAATTTATAAATACCCATACATAATTTATAATGACATCATCTGAAACTCGCTACCCAGCTACCAGTTATTCGCTGTGTTTCTTGTTTACGGGTTTGAATTTCATAAATAAAATAGTTTTAACATGACACCGTTTGAATTTCGTAACCAAGTAACATCGTTTTCCTACTTAAATGATATAAATCTTAAATAAAA